AAACGTGCAATTGATTCGATCGAAGAACATTCCTCGAAGCAGGTACAAGTGCCGCGTGCAATATCAATGCGATCCCCGCCTAATTATTTAAATTACTCACTGCCTTATAGAATTCTTAATCGATCCATGTCAGACGTGTGCTCTTCCGTGATCGAGCCTCCTTTCGCCTGACGCGGGTTTCTTTGTATTCTAAATTCGGTTTAAGCGAACGTTTATCCACTCGACACGAACATTCGTCGAAATTTTGTTGTATTTTCTGTTGTATTCTCTCGACACTTTTCTCGCCACTGCCAAACGAGCTTGATTCGCAAACGAATAGGAATTTCGTAGATCGTTGGCAAGCCACATTTCAACGGAATCTCCTCGAAACACGCGCGTTTCTCCGGAATTATTCCGCTATGTTGGTTCTCGATTTACACTCGGCTGTATTTACTCGACGCTCCAAACGCGGCTCTACTGAAATAGATTCACTCACGACCGCCACGAGGAATGGTAGAAAAGCAGCCGGATTCTGTTCCCTCGTCGACGACTTCCTCCGCCCGATTACATTTCCACTGTTACCGTAAGCTGTCGATGCTTCTGCTTTAAATAACAGTTTAACTCACCGTTTCTTTCGAGATTCGTACAATTTCAGTTCTATTTAGTTCATAAATTCTTTACGGTTCGATAAAAACAACGTAGGCAGGAAGCAATTAAATACTATGAATTTAGAATTTTTATTCCGTAATCTATGCAGGAAATAATGCAACGGAATTTCTAAACGCTTCCACGATTACCTAGTTGCCAACATCCGTCGCTGCGAGATATTTTCGTGTAAACGAAAACGATTCATCCGAGAAATGGATTCGAACGTATCTTCGTACGATGCGCGTTTCCGGTCACTGGTACGAGCAATAAGGCGACCTGCAAGAGGTCGTTTTTCTCGTTAGTGTGTCACGGTGCCACTCCTAGCGGTACACCGCACACACACACACACACACACACACACACACACACACACACACACACACACACACACACACATCGGTTCTTCGTTGTTATGCAAAGAACATTTTCTTGTCGTTGAATCAGCACGGTTTCTTCTCAACCAGAGATCCACGCTACATCGCTCTTCTTCCTACATCGCGCACTTACCGGTCTATTGTCATTCACGTGACTCGAGATGACAGAATGTGCAGATATTACAGTTCCACAAGTGATTCGCTTTTTGAGAGAGATCGAGCTCCATTTTCCAACGTGATATTTCGCCAAGTGCATCGGCCGGTCGTTGCACCGTCCGTTGCACTTTTCACGGTTGAACTTCCAGGTGGAGCGTCTCGTCGTCGCTAAATGTCATTCGTAACGCATCCTTGCAAATGCTAGCGTAATATACGGTAACGTTCAATTCCGGGTCGTTGCCTCGGCGGCAAATAATCGACAATATGCTCGCTCCGTTACCTACATGCAGTTCCAGCAATTTTAAGAATTACAGATTAACAGATGTAAAAAAGAAGCTTTCTAAATCTTAAAATATCCGAATCTAAAAACATTGCCAAGTTTTTAATATTTAAAGTGGTGGATATACTAAATTGTTGGACGATGATGTAAAGTAGCGATCATTTGGTCTCATGTACAAGTTCAACGTTTGGATAATGATAAAAATCAATGTTTGTCAGACTGTTTCGTAGTCAGAATTTCTCCTCTATGCTGCATCTAACAAATGACCGATTGGAACGGGAACTTTCAGTATTCGTATTGTACGCTACACGACCAGTGTATGATCGTCTAATTGAATATTTTATATCGTGACAGACGTCAGTTAATATCTTGTAGTTACAGCTCGGCCACGATGGTGCTTCCACTTCGCGGTAGCCGTAATGAAAGACAATGCATACTAAACGCGTCGTAGGTAGCTGTACCGGCGTGTTGTAACATCGCTGCGAGTCACAAACAACTCGACGAGCGGAATGTGGCTCGCAAAGTTGGCGATTTCAAAGTCATTCCCTTCGGCATTCTCCTCGGTCTTTTCTCTTTTAACGCGAGAAACTCGTTTTTTCGGGACGGTATTGCTTCTCGAGCTTCTTTGTTTCGTCGCTTTCCGCGAGCGTTGAAAATCGCGTGGGTGGTGTCGAAGGTCCCGGAGATCTCGATAGGAGAGCAGCGTGGTCTCGCGGCGAGTCCTAAAATTCGCGAAATATTTATAGACCGCAGCTGCACAATCGCGTAGCTTTGTAGTCTCGTGAAAGCGAGCTTCCTCTCTTCGACCCATTTATATTCGTATCTTCGTAGCTGATGCAACGTAACGGTGCGTAAAAACCGCGTGGCACTCCGGGTCAACGCTGGAAAAGATCATCCCATTAACGGTACACCCGCGACGTCCTTTGAATTCGTCGCGTGCCTCGCGACAACTCTCTCGCATAGAAAAGAGATATGTAGTTAGCTCGTGTACTCGACGAGAAACCAGGCAACCTCTATGCACTATGCGAATTACGAAGATGACAAGAAACGAGTACTCGTTTACTTCTTTTCGGGCAACTCCAAACAAGAACTGTAAATTACCATGTAAATTTATAGCTCGGTTTGATTACGCTACGAAGAACGCCGACTCTTAAAAGCTTCTGCACGAGACACAGACTCGTGACGAGAAAGAGAGCTCTAGGAGCTTGACATCGGTACATTGTTCTCGCTTTTAGCCTGCAGCAGCTGTAGTATGAGACTCTGTTTCTTTCAGATGCAAAGACACCTTGTTGGACAACATAGAACACGCTTTTAGCGTCCACAAATCTTAAAGAGCGTCGTTTAAAAAAAAAACAATCGAATACTGTTCAAGTCACACACTCAGCTCAAAATTCACGAGCCTCTACGGTCCGATTCACACCCTGGAGAAACGATACGCATGTCACGTAGACGGTTCCACTTTCCCCAGCATGTGGTTGGTAATAGTCACTTTAAACGATGTTCAGACCGAGAGTGGTAAGGATTTTGGGGGTCCGAGTCGTTAAATCAGGCAAACATGGAACGGAACAGCTGTGAAAATTTGTTTTTCAGACAGGCATGCATACATGTGTGTCTGTCGCGCATATTTCCCGAAGAGCAGCAGAAACGGACCGGTTTTCTTCGGTTTCAAGAGGCGGCGAGGGATGAAACCCTTGAGCCAGCCGACACCCTTGTCGACGTCTTCCCGTATACAAGGGGTTGTGTCTCGGCTTTGGTACTCTCTCTCTCTCTTTCTCTCTCTTTTCTCTCCTCTTCCTCCGCGATTGTGAGAAGTGGGCCGCTCGTGCGAAAGAATGGACACAAAAGGGACGGGGGTGCGCAGTCCGGGACGAATATCTTCGACTGCGCCTATCCGTGGATGCGAGTACACGTTTGCAAAGTTGTGTGCTGGATTCTCAAAGCTTCATTGTAACCGCTCCTCGCGAGAGAAACACGAAGAAGGTTGCTTGTGCGAGAGCCGCGACGAGTTCACAAGCGCGCACGACCGGCAATCGAAGGGAAAGAAAAGAAGAGGCCGGCCTACTCGACATGCAAGAGGAAGAAGGGCGTGTGCTCGAATTGAGCCGTAGGTTTCTGGCCGCGTAGAAACAAATGTATGTACGAGGAAACCTTTTGAAGCGAGAAAGACGCTCCAGCCTCCGGGCATCCTTTTATGTCGCACCCCATCGGCCGATTTTATCTCCGCAACAGTTGCTCCGTACACCCAAGGGAGCGTAATTAGTGGATCGCGACGGATACCTTGACTCTCGGCAATTATGGGGGACTTCGACGTTACGGGGAATAATAGCATTTCAATTCACGATGGGTTGTAATAGCGGGACAGCGTTGGCAATACGGTATAGGGTGGAATCGAGCAATTTGTTTCGCTAAACTAGCCCATTCCGATTCAATAGAGCTATCCAAATCACCAATAACGTTCCGCGTGATTATCGTTTAGAGAAAATAGGGAAAGTCACGCGAGGATCCTAGAATATTCCAAGAATTACGACATGGAAATCCGATAACCGGTCTCCGTAATAATTCCATGGGACAATAACGTAAACAGGACGCGCGATAGGACCCAACCACGTGGTCGTTAAGTCCGCTGTGCGTAAATCATCGAGCATGCACAGGGCCCGGATAGGAAGCATCGTGAAACTCTGACGCACATGTCCCGGATACGGGGTCTGGGTATGACGTGGAAAGAAAAATACAGAAAGCTGGCGCGCGCTCGCTCGCTCGCTCGTTCGTTCGTTCGCCATACCAAAGTATCGTGGCTCTAACGAGGATAGGGGTTTAAGGCTGCGGTCGGAGACTTGGGAAGTCGTACATTCGCGACCGCAAGAGAAATTAAATCTACCAAGTTATTGCGCGGAATGTTCCAAGTCGTCTCGTACGAATGGCGAACGAACGACCGAGAACATCGAGTATTCTCGGACGAAAAAATAGAAGGAACGCGCGAACGGTGTTTCTATGTTACTTGTTTCTATGTTGTTACTTACTTGCTTGTTGTTTCTATGTTACTGTAAAGCAAGAATTTATAAGAATGAAGATTCTAACAGATTGCTGTAAATTTGTTTCAATTTTTCTTGTTCGTTGGATCGGATCTTAAATAGACCCATATCTATGTACGGAGAACTTTTCCGCTGTTCCATTGATCAATGTTCTGATAGATCAATTGAGGGGGGCCCATTATCGTTGCTCCGAATCTCCATCCGGAGAATAATCCCCCCCGATATATCCCACCCCAACAAAACATTAGGGGTGTTTTCTGTTTCCGGAATCGCGAGACGGTCAAAGGGGCCGATGATAAAGGCAATAAACACGCGTGTCTACGACCGCCATCTCGTTGGATCTTCATTGATAAATTGAGGTTGGTTCGTCTCCCTTAAAGAAGCATTAAACAATCGACCCCCTCTGACCATCGGTTAACCGAACATGTCCATCTTCGTAACGCCGTGAAATTAGCCATGACACGTCCAGATAAGAACGAAATAATTCTTCCAACGGCCTTTTCAATTTCCTATTCTGTTTGTTGTATGCAGATATCGCCATGGACTGGTCGGATCACGCGTTATGGTGGCCCGAGAGGAATCACTGGCTCACCAGAACGAGAAGCACTTTGGATCAGTATGGTGTTGCCGCGGATGCGCTTCTCCACTTCACACCGATGCACAAAACTCTGAGAGTACAGTTGCCGGACACGCGTTGCCTCGACTGCAAGGTCGACTTCTCCGTAAAGACGTTCAACGCCGTGATTAATCTGTGCAAGGAACTTGGTGAGTCTTTCCTCTAGGAATCCCTCAGAAATAACCGGCACCGTGGTCCTATAAGAAGATACGATTTAAAAATTCAAGGTTTTATTTTTTTAAGATTTGAAACGACCACTTAAGTGTTTCTGAGTCGGTGGTTAATTGGCAGCGAGACATGTAAATCGGTTTGAAATTTGAAACTTTGATGGTGTTAAACGGTCGCTATGGTCGGCCGTTTTAAAATGGAATTTCAGCATAGGCGGCCAGTTCGCACGACACCTAGCCGTGATGGTGCTAATTGGTCCTGATAATAAAATAAAATTGTTAAATTCCCAGTCACGCGAAGGTCGCGCCAGCCTTCGTGTCCGAGGCTGAGCATGGTTGTTCTAACGAGCAGTTTTTTTAATCAAGGAAGTGGTTCGCCGCGATAATGAAGGCATTGTATCGCGCCGCCTTGCCTTACAGTTGCAACAAGAATTCTGCCGAGAAAATATTCTTCTGTAGGGCGGCACGGTAATTAATCGAGACGGTTTCACAGTGTAACAAGCTCTCGCACCACGGGAAAACGGCGCTCGATAGAAATTGCCAACTCGTGAAATTATTTATCCGCGTCACCGCGATGGTTATTACGTCTCGTTTCTTGTTTTTTGTCCACATAGTAGCGGACAGATGACCTCGCCGATAGCCTCGTGTCATACTCATAAATAGATATGGTAACGCGTGAGCTCTTACGTACTGTCGTTATTTTCTCGTAATAGAACAAATTACATATGGTAAAAAGCATATGCAAACCGTGCATCATTGCAAAATAAGAAATATATGGAGATTAAGACACCACCGGTTGTAGTTACATCTTCGAAAGATTTCGACAACGCAATGTTTTTAAAATAAATGTTTCCTATTGCAACGTTTAGGTATCAGACATCCAGAAGAATTATCATTTTGCAAACCGCTTGAGTCGAATCACTTGAAATATAATTTGAAAGATCTTCCGGCGAAGAAGAAAATCGAGAATCAAAAGAACGGCCATTGGAACGTCCCCGCGGACACGAACACGTTCATTCCAGTGAGTCAGAGTCCCAGAGGATCGACGGGCAGTCTGGACCAAAGCAGCCCTTTCATGTGCGCGCCGGTCACACCCAACAACAGAAATCACAGCACGCCGATCAGCTCGCCCGTCTCGGTAAGTACGAATCTCTATACCGAACCACTAGTTGTGTGTATCGTGGATCTGGTCGATCGATAGGATCGGGAATATCAGAGAGAGCCAGACCGGACCTGTTATGGTAATAAATAATCCCCGATCGACCTGATTGCCACGGCTATGATTTATCGATATTGGCCTATCATTACCGCTTACGAAGTCGTTCATCTCAGAAAACTAATTTGCTTCTCGCGAGCGGCCCGTTTTTCCGGCCGGCGGTAGTCATTAGATGTATTTATTGCTCGGCTGCGAGCACGATCTCGCCTGTGCTAACGTACACTCACGTTTCGCTCTTTTGCCTGCGTTTCTTCCAGCAAACCGGTACCTGGAAGAGGAACAACAACTCGTCGGGTTTTGGTAGCACCGGATCGTTCAACGCCAACAATAGCACTATGAGTCTTGAGGTATTGAACGGTGGGCTGTCCGAGTCTCTAGCCCAGAGTCCGACCACCATCTCACCGGAGGTACGGGCAAAATTGATCAGGCCGAAGAACCTCGTGGAACGCGCCAGGATGAACGTGGCCTGGCTCGATTCGTCCTTGTCGATCATGGAACAGGGAATACGCGAATTCGACACCCTGAGGCTGAAATTCAAGTTCTACTCCTTCTACGATCTGAACCCGAAGACGGACGCTGTCAGGATCAACATGATTTACGAGCAGGCCAAATGGCAGCTGCTCGCCGAAGAAATAGACTGCACCGAGGAGGAAATGCTCATGTTCGCTGCGCTGCAGGTATTTTTCTTACCGTTTTGGGTCTAACGACGACGACCGAGCCTTTTACTCTTTTCCGTTTGCGAGAATTTGCGCTGCAGCACCGCGATGGCCAGCCGCTGCGCAATTGTTTACGCGGCTAACGTTTTCACGATCCAAACATCCGGCGCTCGCCGACCGGATCGATCTATATATATCTACGTCCAGAGACGGTCTTGGCGAGCGGCAGACTGAAATAGCTGACGATGACACGAGACATCGCAGCGGAGGATTCGTTTCTAAAATTGTGGAAAGATCGGCATATCGGGACATCTGAAAATAGGAACGCAGAAAGCAAGAAAAGTTTGCTCGACGATCGTACGGAACGTTTGCCCAATTAAAGACACTCGTCCGCCTTTGCGATAAATCGCCTCCGCTCGGTTCTATCTTCCCATGCAAATCTCGTTTTCTTAAACCGATTAACAAATCGAGAAAACGTTGGCATCATCGATCCGATACACGCCCACCGGTTTCTCTGTCGTGGTTATCGGATTAAGAAAGAGGAAACTCCTATCTAAGGTAGAAACGCGGTGGACATTGGACACATTTGTATTCTGTGACGCAGGTGCAAGTGAATCTTCAGGCGAGCGTACCGCAGCCGAGTTACGACAGCAATGGCGCCTCCTCTCCGGTCGAGGACGACATTGACGCTGCCTTGACGGACCTTCAAGTCACTTTAGAGGGCAGTAATATTAGTAATGGCCCCAGCGACATCACCCAGGTGCCCGAGTTGTGCGACTACCTTCGCTTTTTGAAGCCGAAGCGTTTCACCTTGAAGGCATTTAAGCGCTACTGGGTCACGTGCAGGGACCTTCAGCTGAGGCTATACAAGAGTCGGGAGGAGACGAATAGCACCGAGTCGCCTGCCCACGTGATCAATTTGCGTGGATGCGAGGTCACGCCCGATGTCCATCTCTCGCAAGGTCGTTACGGGATCAGGTTGGAGGTGCCCAGTGCCGAGGGCATGACCGAGATGTGGATCAGATGCGACAATGTGAGTACCACCCAGCCTCCGCCCTCGTCCACGCCGACGTTCGCATTTGAAATTTAATTAATCTGCAATTAGCAACCGTTAGATCAAGTGACTTTAGCGGCTTTACCGTCTCTGCGTGGGAATTACCGAGTTCTCTGTTGCTCGTTGCAGGAACAACAATATGCGAAATGGATGGCGGCGTGCAGATTAGCGGCGAAGGGGCGTTCTCTCGCAGACGCCTCTTACGAAAGCGAGGTAAACAGTATCACGGCTTTCTTGCAATTGCAAAGGCCCGCCCCTGCACCTGCGATCAATCCCAGCGCTCTTGATATTGTGCCCGAAGATTACGTCGCGCCTAGATTCGCAAAGAAGTTCAAAGGAAAGGTAAGTTACTTGTTTCTGTAATTGTTCTCTTCGGGAATTGATTTCTTTTTTCTATATTCGTAGCTGGTTCAGAGGATTTTAGAGGCACACGCTAACGTGAAAGATCTGCCTCTAATCGAGGCCAAACTGAACTACATTAAAGCGTGGCAATCTCTTCCCGAGTATGGGATCTCTCTGTTTGTGGTTAGATTCGCTGGAAAGAGTAAAGACGAACTGTTGGGGATCGCTAATAATAGGCTGATGCGGATGGAGCTGCACAGTGGTGATCACTTGAAAACTTGGAGATACAATACGATGAAGGTGAGCGGATTTATCTGTATATAACTGTTAAGGACCTGGTATATGTAAAGGACTTTGTACTATCGGCATCTTATTTACACAGGCATGGAACGTAAACTGGGAAGTAAAACATATGATGGTTCAATTCGAGGAAGAGAATATTATCTTTGAGTGCCAGTCTGCAGACTGTAAAGTCGTTCACGAATTCATTGGAGGATATATATTCTTGTCGATGCGATCGAAAGAGGCGAATCAAACGTTGAACGAAGAGATGTTCCACAAACTGACCGGTGGATGGGTTTAGATACCAGAGGAAAAATATTTCATTCGATAAACCTGCGACACTTATCGAAGTGTTAAATTGTTTGTTATTCGTGAGAAATGGAAACTCTGATCTGAGAAACAACGCCATACGTTGGCTGACATTTGTAAAAAATACTTAAATCTATATCTAGACGTTTTATTATAGTATTTGTAAATAGAGAAATTGTATCGTCTGTATACAACTGTTGCTCTCGTGATGAGTGCATCTTTTATTTCACATAGGAAATGACTTATTCTTGGCGAATTAATCATTCGCTCGAAGTACGAAATAAAAAGGGTGATTCATTGCAACCTCGAGATAAAAAATCGTTTGTAAAGCAACACGCGCATAATAGCGTATTATTTTATATTTTACAAATGAAACACGCACAAAATCGACCAGAGTAAACCACGCCTTCTGTACACGCGATGCTGATAATCCAGGCCACGAACGGATTAATATTTTTACAAGGATAAGCATGTTATATTTGAGTTGCCCTCTAGACTCAACCTCACTAGAGATTGTTCTTTATGATTTTTTCGATCGCCCAGATCAATCTCTCTCAGGCAAAATATACGTGTACGTGTAGTTTTAACATGAGAGGGTGCTATGCCGGGCGAGATTGACACAGAAGCGAGGATATATTAAATCGTGTAAATTATTTGTTGTTTTAGTGTAAACTATATATATTAAATATATTTACTTGTACCGTTACTTATTACCTACTTATATTATGTCACGTTACCGAACGTGTAATCAAAAATTATAGTTTTGTATATTAATAGATGCTAGTTGTACAATAAACTTAATTATTATCATCCTCTTAGATTTATTCCCGATTTATATAGATCGCTATTCATGATATTATGCACTATTAAAACTGTGATATTCTTTATTAAAAGTATGCGTTATTAAAAACCATGTATATATCAACAATAATCAGCAATGTAAAAAAAAATGTATTATAAACATTCGTGTGTTCGTCGACGTTCGACGCACGAACGACGCTGGTTCATCCTTGTCGGTCCTATGTTTCTTCATTCAATGGCAGACAACTGTGTATCTTTTCCCGCATTGTCCGTAGCCTTTACGATGGTACCATGATTTTGATTCTCAGTATTCTTGAATGACGGTAATCCTCTTAGTACTACGGGTACGTTGCCACCCCCTGCAGCCCCTGCTCCAACTAAATTTCCTCCGCCTCCACAAGTCTGGTACAATGTAAATTATAAAAAATGTGGACGCATAATGTGCTGGAAATTTTATATTTGTTTCTTATTTAAGATGAATCACCTGCGCGTGAATAGGCGGTGCTGAATGTACTAATCGACCAGTAAGAGATCCAGGTTTCTCTTTCTTCGTGCGTACCCATTCATGGCCTAGAACTCTTTCTAGCGTTAGCCTCAAAGTAATATCCGGTTCTAAAATATGTTTCACGATACTCTTTGCCAGTGCAGATACCGTTTCCCGTACTCGGGATCGAAACATCCAGTTCCTCGACATCTGATCCTTCAATAGTTTCTTTAGGTTCGAATCGTCGAAGGGCATGGAGGCGTTTAGCATGATAAATAGGATTATCCCAAGGGACCAGACGTCGGCCAGTTTTGGGTTGTAGGGGGTACCGGAAACAACTTCCGGTGCAGCGTATGCCGCAGAGCCACAATAAGTCTCGCTGAGAACGCGTCTACCTTCGTGATCAACGCAGAATCTCGCAAAACCAAAGTCTGCAAGCTTGACATTGAACTTCCTGGATAACAGAATGTTCTCACATTTAAGGTCACGGTGGGCGATATTCTTCCCGTGGAGGTAGTGCAGACCGGAAGCCATTTGTCTGAACCAAAGCTTCGATTGTTGTTCCGGTACAACACCATTTCTTTTTACAAAATCCAGGAGGTCGCCATTGTCTGCATAGCGCATGAATATGAACACTCTTGGACCACGCTGCAATATACTATGCACCTGTAATTTTTTTTACCGATCGTTAAATAACGTATTGTTCCGTTAGCATTCTGGTCTTACTTGAATTATATGAGGATTTTCAATCTTTGTAAGGATTTCGAGTTCACGAGGAAAGAACTTGTTGAGGAAATCGAGCGGTGCTTTTTCTTTGTCGAATATCTTACAAGCTAATCGCAATTTCTTCGAGCTCGTTCCGTCCACATATTCCGCCAGGTGTACGGTCGCATACGAGCCCTAACATTTACAAAATTCCAGTTTGCCTCCGGGAATAATTATACGATAATATAAAAAGAATTCGGGTTACAAAAAATAAAAAGTATAAAGAATATATGCTCGTCCTACGAAAGAGATGAGAACGCGGGAACGTTTGAAGGAACGTACAGAGTTTAAAAAGAAACAAACGACACAATATTGCAGAGCAAAAAGCAGGTAGAGGGGAACTGGAAGAGGTTAACGAACAGGTGGGGAATAGAGGGTTAGGGATAAATAACCTGTCCGATTTTTTTGCCAATAAGATAGCCCCGCTGCTCAAGAGCGTTCACCTCCGAATTTCGGGGGCTGAGTTGCGTGGCCATGCCAGTGGATCTTCATTGGACTTCGGATCCTGATAACAGATAACTGGTTCTTCTTCTTCGTTACACACCTCTCGTCTCCTTTCGTTTCTTCGTACAGATAACTTACTTCCTTTTTATTCTGTATCGTGACAAGTTTCTCCAACTTCCCCCTTCGGGGCGCCTACCCGTATCTTCTTTGAACGTGATTCAGTCAATTTTGTCGCCAGAGATGTAGCACTTCACGCTCCGCAAGGAGCCGGAGCACGCCTCGCTGATTATCACGTCGATGAACCCGAGTCGGGGAACCGTTCTGTCATTTCAAATGGCTGTGTACACTAGAATTTTGAGCGTCGACACCAGCTTGTACCTGGTACGGAACGGGGCAGAGGAAAAGATCCGTGTCTCATTCGAATACAGCCATAATATTCAAAAACAACAAACGATCGATTCTCGAGAATGATTTCGCCATGCCTAGATTCGCTTTAAAAGTATGTTCAAGTCGCTTCTTATACACGTGGTATATTTTATAAATATATCTTTTGCTCCTAACTTCGTTATATACATGTTAGATGTGAAATAAATCAATATTTGGATTTATTAAGAATTTTTATTAAACGTTATTATACATTGCGTAAAAACGAATTACGCAGCCGGATCATCACCTTTAGTGGTACGTGTGTAAATAAGTTGTGCATGATGCTGTACAACTTGCTTAATAAGTCCTTTTTGTTGCAATTCAATCAGTGCTCTCCTGGCAAGTGAACCACGAATTTTTAACCTTTCACTAACAATGGAGGGTGTGATCAATTTGTATTGTGGCACTTCCTTGAGTAGTTTTTCATATGTGCCTTTGTCAAACAACACCTGATTGTTTAACTTATCACGTACTTTTCCTTTGGACCACTTCTATAATAAATAAAATTAAGAAAAGATTTAGGTATCTATCTAGATTCATTCTTTTAAACATATTTTTTTATAAAATAGTATCAGTCTCATTAAATCAGCTTTTTACTTCCACTGTTCGTCAAGATTATAAGTTTACATCATTTAACATATTTTACAAATTAATCCATGACTTAAAACAACTATCATACAAACCTTCTTCTTGGCTTTGCCACCAGATCCACCTTCTTTTTTCTTTTGTGTTTTTTGTGGCTGTTTTGAAGACCCCTTAGTATCCTTTTTCGGAGGCTGAAATACGAAACAAAATTAGATCAAACGTTCAACAAGATATAAGTATTAAGAAACGATGTTGATTATTAATCAGGCTCATTAAATCAGCATTATACTATCACAGAAGCAATCAAGAATGAGTTTTTTCATCATAATGATTTATTAAAGCAATTATTAACTCTAAATATAGAATAAATAATGTACTTTATAATACTGTTTTTTCTTTCAATAATATTTCAAAGTGTCAACAAAACATAGGGTCAAGAGAAGAGGTTAGAACTGCCATGTTTATGAAATCAAAATAAGTTCCCATTTTGTATAATGGACATAAATTAATTTCGATCCTCTGAAACTAATTAAACAATATTCTAAGTAAACAAAATCGTCTTAGAATGAAATATCCTATTTGCACTGTATACACCATGTGGATGAAATCGCTCAGAAAGGTTATCCGTGTATTCATACATTATACATACAAAACTTTCCAATTAATTGTCAAAATGATAACACTGCACTACACAGAAATGGGATCTTTAAAACATAGATGAAATTATTTTATGTAAGTACTATTAAAATAGAAATAAGATCTTTCTCATAAATACTCACCATGATGGCCGTCGATTCAGAAAGAAAAGGGAAGTGAATATGTCGCCATCTTGAATGCGTATCTCATTTAGTGCCCTCTACTTTACTGCGTCAGTCAATGTTACTTCAAAAATATTAGAAAATTTAAAAAGTAACTGAGTTATGGGTAGATAAATTAATCATTTTATTGAAATTAATTTTTTCATTGTAAAATTGTTAAGATAAATTCATGAGATATATCATACGTATTATATGTGACATTGAATTTATGTCAAATCTATTCTGTATTTATTCAATGATTCTAACCACTACCATAGAGAATCAATAACTTCGCGTGTGGTATGAAAATGGTAAGAGTGTCAGATAATTCCCAAAACACGAAAAAGAAGTGAATGTCAGGTCTACTCTGTCCTTAGTCAATGCTATCGCTGTCAGTCACTGTCGTCGTCACTGACCACGACCACTGAGGAGTGGCTGTAACGTGTGAAGTATGGCGCCACGCCGTGTGTTTTTAAGTCCTGGTTTTTCATATCTTTGACCCGCTGACAAAATGTATTCGCGCTAAGAATACTTTTTGGTGTCATTTAATTAACAACGAACGTCCATTTGTATTTAGTTTTATACAAGAAGGTATTTTTTTCTTCTCTTAACGTTACCTTATGTGGGGTTAAGATACCTTTCACTGTTCGAAACTTAGTGTCAATCGTGTTTTTATTCTGTATGTGTTACGTTACGTACATGTCACGTACATCTTTATTATATTACTGTATATGTTAAAGTTAAATAAATACAATAGAACTCCATTTGTCTAAGTGAAATTTTAGTTAATGACTGATTAACTGAACTTTTGTTGGTTGAATTTATTTATTTGACTTTGCACACCAATTATATGAATGGAGAAGAGTACTGGGTTTAATTGTTGAGTTGCTATTCTATGAACTATAATCGTATAAATTGTTTATCCCCTGACAACTTTTATACAGGTGAATGGAGTTTTATTGTACTCGGATGGAACAGCTAAAATGTTGACAACGTGGCAATTCATCGTAAACAATATGTTTCATTTAGGAAGATAATTTCTGACATCGTTAATATATGTGACGAATAGTTAAGTGAGAGTATCGTTATTCAGCTGTATGTTGGTCCGTGCATTGTCGACATATTTTTAATTTTATCGTGTGAAAACTTTTTTGAAGTGCAAGATTTGATTGTATTTCGGTTTATAGAACATGAAATTATTGACTTTCTTTGTATATTATGGTAGTTTTCGACGCCTAGAATTAAAAGATGCTAGTTTTAATTTCAGGAATCTAGCGGTCCCAAAGTTACATGTATGTAAAGTTGAGCGTTTTAACATATTTTAAGTACAAGTTACTTTGACGCCATATTTACTTCTATCCATGATCCGTCCAATCATTGGAGTCGCTGGCTGTATACAAATGCACGTGGACGACAGCCATTTTGCCGCGGGATTTTGAATCGTGAGTCTTGAATGAGGTTTCAATAATACAATAATAATATTCGGTGAAGTTCAGTTTATCGTTCATCTGTGCGGGCCAATCAAATGATGGATAAAATGTTGACATAATAACCTGTAAAATATGCTAAAAATGTTCAGTTTTATATATACATAAATATTGTACTACTGGATTTCTAAAGTTAAGACCTGCATTTTTGAATTCTATGTGTGACTATCAGATGTCAAAAAGAAAGTCAATAATTTTATGGTTATCTAAAACCAAAATTAAGCTTAGGATTTTTTGTTTAAATGTTTCTGTTAAGATATAAATACAATTAATTAGGAAAAGGTTCATTTGAAAAGACTTTTTTTCGAAAAGTATAGTACAAAAGTTCATTTTATTAAAAAATGACTTTTTCTATTTTTAGGATAAGCTTCATTACTGCAAACAAGCTTGTACCAGAGAAAATGCTTCCACTTTCGCACAAAGATTCAAAGAATCTTGGCAGCAGGATAAAGGAGAAGCTGTTGGGATGGAAACGTTTAATATTCTCTGATAAAAATACCAGGAATTTATTTTTATTTCTTTTATTGAATTTATCCTTTGCCTGTGTTGAATTAATGTATGGAATATGGACAAACAGTTTGGGTTTAATATCAGACAGTTTCCACATGTTCTTTGATTGTACTGGTTTATTATTTGGCTTGGCTGCATCAGTTATTACAAAGTGGAGAGCAAACGAACGATACTCCTATGGCTATGTTAGAGCAGAAGTTCTGGGAGGATTTGTTAATGCTCTGCTTCTGTTCTTTATTGCTCTCTTCATTATGTCAGAAGCTGTGGAAAGAGCCATTGAGCCTCCGGAGATAAAACACGAAAGACTTCTGGTTGTGTCCATTATGGGATTAATAGTTAATTTAGTAGGAATGTATGTATTCCGTCATGGCCATGGACACAGCCATGGAATGGGACATGGTCACTCTCATTCTCATGGAAGTCATGCACATTCTCACTTGAATCATAGTCACAGTCACGAACATCATGATATTGAAATCGATCCATCGTTCAGTGGTACAAACTCTCAAATCATGAAAGGAGTTTTTCTGCATATCTTAGCAGATACTCTTGGATCTGTGGGTGTAATTATATCAGCAGTGCTGATGCGCTTGTTTGGCTGGTTTATAGCTGATCCAATTTGTTCTATGCTGATCTCAGTATTGATAGTTTTAAGTGTGCTTTCCCTGATGAAAGACTCGTGGGAAATACTGATGCAAAGGCAACCAGCTGCATTGGACCACATTTTACCACAGTGTTATAACAAGGTGACTCAATTAGCTGGGGTATATAGTGTGCAAGATCCACATTTCTGGACACTGTGCTCAGATGTGTACGTTGGGTGCTTGAAATTGGAAGTTGCCAGAACAGTAGAGCCTAAATACGTTGTAGCACACACACAAATGATTTTCCAAGCAGCTGGAGTAAGGCATCTAACTGTTCAGTTAGATTATGCACCTATGTGATCTATGAAAAGCATGCATGTCATAAAGTGTTCTTACAAGTGCTCCAAGACTGTATCTATTTGTGGAGTTTGTCAAAAGCAAGCAAGAAACATTGCACTCATGCAAAATATTCTTGCCATTTTAAAATTATGCAGATATCTTGTTCTAAGCAACAGTGAATATCATCTTGGGTTACAAATTATTTAAAAAATTTGTCGAAGTTAAAAGAAAAGAAAAAGAAAGAATAATAAAAATTCGCGACTCAGGATATCGATATTACTCTTAAGGATACGCCAATTTTGTAAAATTAGCGTATTTGATTACTTGCATCCATCACGAACAAAAATCATTGATTTCATTTCTTTATAATTCTGTTGTAAATATAGATATTCGTACTTTTCCATCAAATTGCAACTTATCTTTGTTTACAAGAACTTTAACTCTGTACTATCTATCGACAAAAAATCGCACGTCATGTTTTGTATTATCTACCGAAGTTTTTATATTAGAATGCATTTAAATGCATTTTCGAAGATCAAAGCTGCATTAAATTACATCTTTTTATCTTTGCAGGGCTAATTTAAGCCACAGCTATAAAAATGTTTCTACGTCGTCTTTGCATTGATTTGTATACAATTACTATTCACGGTAAAGTTTAAACATCATGGTCAATTGTGCGCAAAATGAAAGACAAAGAAAAGATCATATTCGCACATAATTACGGTGGCCATAACCATATACAGACAGCTACAGACAGCTAGTCACTACTATACAGAAAGTGTGAAATATACCTTATATAAATATAACTTTACAAAGTGTAATATAAATCGATATTCTTATGTCTAAACGAAGTTGTGTTTTCCTTATAATTTATCATATTTTCGACATATTATCCGCGTTAAGTAGATTCATCCCATTCGTATTAAATATTTACGAATGGTTAACGCGCATAGTCAGTATATTTATATTGATGAAACATCATTTCTATAAATATCCGATAGACAAATTGCGAATAATATCAAAATACCTATAGCAATAGGAAGATTCTTAAACATTGAAAATGAAATTTTCTTCGTACATTTCATTTAATCGCACATAATTGAAACGAAATGAAGCATCTTCATTTAGAAAGTTTCATATACCATATTTCGCATTCACGGAAAGCGTTACCCATTTATTTTCATTCATGTTGTAATATATCTTTGGAAAAGTGATTATCAAATTAGAATTAACGACAGATTTGTAAGCATAAATTTTAAACATGACCAGGACATTCCATTATAGTCAAGGTATATTATTTGTATACTTGAGATTGTGATGATGTAAGCCAAAATATAGATATTGATAAAATGGAATGGAACCTCATAGAAATTAATAAGAATACTTAGTAAGAACGTAGAGAGGAATTTTTCTATCAAGTTTCTGTATCATCTTATACTGAGACGAACGCATTATTTGCAGCGCTATTCGATGAAACTACCACGACGAGCTATGTAATTTCTGAAATGAAAGCCAACGTTGTTACGTTTTATTAACACAATTGTATAAACGAAAAATTTTGAAGAGAATATCTTCGACATGAGCAAAGTGTAAATAATAAAGAAAAATACTTATAATAATCTTTGATCTGTCTCATTTACGGTCCTTTTACTAGTAGAATCTTTTTGTAGAAAATAGAGAGTGTTTTAATTGAACATAATTGAGGCCATTAGAAATACCCATCAACAAGAGATATGCTGATTTCTATATAGGGAATAACATTTCTAAGAAATTTTCAAACACATATTACATTTATTTGAAGGATATGTATACACATATAAATACATAAATATTTATAATAAAATCGCTGAAGCTGATTCCACACGATAAAACGATCTTGAATGCATTGGACAACGTGCGCGCGTATGGTGTCAGCTTCAGTCTCCCACCGTTTGAATTAGTTTATTCCTTAAAACGGTCTCGCAAAATTTAACAGATCGTACCTTCGATAAGGATGCTTTCGTGTCTCGTGCGGTGTTTTATGTACATAGCAAACTATCAAAAATGAAAAACTGTATGGAACTGTCGTCCCTGCGAGGCTATACCTGGCTATCTAAAGTGGACGATAAAAGGGAATCAAAAACTTCGGTTTCCTCGCTAACGGTACGAAAAATCGAGCGAACACCGTGCAACTGCTTTTCATGTAAAGCTGAACTGAATCCGATCGAACTTACTCGTTGATCTGTTTCACGTTAAACTCGTTTTTTTTTCTTGCTTTTTATTATTATTGTTATTATTATTATTTCGTCGAAGGTATATGGCAGTATCGTGTTCTTTTCGTGGTTTCTGCTCGGTATTGGCAAAGAGATGGCAGAAAATCACACCTTGCGTTCTAGTTCGGCGATCGGTGAATAAAAATCGTCGTATCGCGCTTATCCTAAAATATAACGAACTCGTGATATAATACCGATAATCGCGAATTAAACTCTACGTTACGATTTGGCAGTTGTGTGTTTTTACTCGCAGAGATATATATTTTTTGTTGTATTCTTTCTCCTTCTTCGTTTCCTTATTTTTATACAATATAATAGCCATCGTTTTCTATTTAGCGTGTAATCGCATAATTCGAAATCCGAGGACGCCTCTTTCTCACTGGATACGTATTTTCTTTCTACCCGCTACTATAGAATATAATTTATAAAATTTCTTCAAGTCTCCAACAACGCGCCATCCGGTAAAGCCATTTCACTCTTGGATCGTCGATTGCAATTCAATCGATCGTAACATTTAATAATCGTGATCAGAATATACTAATAATCGTAGGAATAATAATAGTAATCGTAATAATGGCAATAATAATAATAATATATTACTCTGAATCATATTTTACAGTCCATCTAACAACAACGAACGTATCTAGTTGCAACAGCCTCTTTTTTATATCTTTTTTTATTATTTGTTTTTAAATATTCTCTCGTTAGTACGTATGCGTGTGTGTATACGTGTTGGTCTCGCGATAAATTTTTATCTCGTTTCGTTCTTCCACCCTTTTCCATTTCCTTACTTTCTCTCTTTCTCTCTCTCCCTCTCTCTCTCCTTCCATCGCTCCCTCAAAAGAATACACTCTATCTCTTTTAAAACAAAGATCCTATCTCTACGATCTCGACATTTTTCTGCGTTTAACGGAGTATCTAGAATAACATTCGAGCGAACAATGCTATGATCTATGATCTATACCGTTAGGAAAGTGATGATGCGCAGAAAAGGAAATCACAGTAAGACGAAAATCCACAAAGTGTCGGCTTCATTTCATTCTTCCCTCGTTCTCCATTTATTTCCTCCGTTGTATGAGTAGTCTTTTTATTCTACATGCCTCTTATGGCTAACATCGTCGATCTCGTATCTTCCTAAAACTACGCGCTTATATTCTCATCCTAGACATCCTCTTAGCTTCTCAATTTTTTCGATATCCGTTTCACCGGATCGCTCATGGATACTCAAGAATCACGCGCAATCAATATCTCTCGTTTCTACTTCGTACGTTTCCATTTTCTATATTTCGTTCATCTACAATCAAATTCCAATCGTTATTTTTCTATGGCCACGTTCTTCCATGGCCAGACAATTAAGAAGCTTCCGTATCGTTGATAACCAAGGGTGTTCCGACAATTCTTCACTTTTTCTTGCTCTTACTGCTCTTCTGCACCTTCGTGATCTTCAATCTACAGTTTGATCCACCGGTGTACACGACTTCCGCCCTTCCTCCTTCTTCTATCGCGGCAACCAAGGCCTTCACGGACTTTACGTGCACGTCTTTGGCGCTGATCTCCAACGAAGTACCTGGGAACCGATCTCTTACGCATTTCCCGATACTGGAAGCCTGGCTCTCAGTCAAATCCACTCCGTCCAGGCAGAGCCAAGTCAAGTACTGAAGATGAGTCAGGATCGTCTGCACGAACACGTGCTCCATCTGCACCTTCTTCGCGCTGTCGGTCACGATCAATCCATTCGCCTTTAAGAAGCTCAGGTTGCACAGTTTCAGGTATTTCGCGATCTGCCTCATCGTCTTCTCGCTGTCCTCCAAGGTAACTCGCCAGAAATTGATCCTCAAGGATTGTAGGTTCCTAAAGTGAGAGGAGAGGCAGGCGAAGAATTGCTGCAGGATCTTGTCGTCGATGAAGAGCAGAGATCCGCTGCTGCCTCCTATAGTGGATTTGTCCAACGAGAGGTCCAGCTCGCTGAGAGCGGTGAAGCCCGCGAGGAATGGCAATAGAAGAGGCCCTCGTAGCGCCAGACGATCGTTCACTGTCACCTGGAATCAGAAATAATGCTGTGCACCGTTTTGTTCACGACAATTCTCGTTCCTTTCTTTTTCGGTTACAGGAGAAGACCGTACAGGCTGTCGAATAACGAAGACGGATGGGAATTTCGAGGGTCGTTGCACGAATTCTGATCAGTCGATTCTCACCGTAGGGTGAAAAAAGGGAGGAAAAATTTGGAGGAGCCGCCTCGAGGAAACGTTGCCTCCCGCGTGTCTACTTTTCCAAGATTTACGTAACGAATCGAAGAACGCAATATCGATCGTCGTAGTTGGCTTTACGACGTAACAGAATGGCCGAGACCAGTTCCCGGAGCAGCAGGAATAATGTGCAGCGGTCAGGATGACCGCTGGCCAAACCACAAACGAATCATCGTCGGCCTCGAATTACGAATCGGCTGGTTCCACTGGACACGAGCGTCTCGAATGTGACGTTTCGCGTCGAATCCTCTGGCAACTCGATACGTCGGCTAGAGTTCTCAGTTGAACGTAACGCGTCGTTACCCTCTTGTTCTGGTATACGCGATACGAGCATTAACACCGGAGTCCCTCGAAACACTTTGAGAATAACCGAGAGGAACAGCAGCTGCTTTCAGGTCGTCCTTACAATGAGATATCGTAGTCTGCATTTCGATACGGTCCAATTAACCTCTCTATTTATGGCACAAAGAGAGAGAGGCCACTCGAAAGAGAAGATTCCTCGAGAAGAGAGAACCATCTCTCATTTCGAACGTCTAACCATCGGGGAATCAGTTTCGTCGACTCGTTAAAAGACGGCCGATGATCTAATTCGTAGTTGCGGTGAAATCAGAAGTCCGAGCTGGATCCTTTCCATTACCCTGCGGGATGGTGGCCTGGAAAAGAGGATTACTTACTTGAAAACCGGCCAGCCTGAGGAATACAATTGCGGGACAGGCTGGAGGCGGCGCGGCTCTCAGGAGTTCGGCCCCGGCGTCGTCTCGACGCCCTAATCTTGCCAAAGGACCCTCGTGCACGGCCAGATGTAGTCGGGCGTTGCAAAGACTTAGCTCGCGGACGCTCGTATATCTGAGCAGCTCAGAAAAAACTGCTAGGCTGTCGGATTCCTGCAACATCGATCGTATCTCTCATTGTTTCCATATCCTTCGATTTGACAGTCCAAACAAAAAATTGAATTTCTATTTAGATGTTCTATTCAGATTGCTCGACCTGGAGAATCGAAGCTAAAGTCAGAGTCGAAACTAGGTTTCGCTACGATTACAATTTATCTTTGCCGAATCGTAACTGTAATTGCAAACGACGTATGTGACACGACGTCGCAAGACAAAGGGGTAATATCAGTGGAATGTGGGAAATCCGCTCGCGATTCGCCCCAAGACTCTTTGATCCACTGATAGACAGCGGTTTCCATTATTAACGTAGGCTGCTGAACGACGTTAAACGAGAAAGTGGTTTGTCTAAGAGCGTCGCGACGCCGAAATCGCTTGCGGTATTACGTAACCTCGGCAATGAGACGAGAACAAAGCGACGTGTGCAGACACGATGACTTCCGAGATTACAGGATCGCACGGGTTCGCTGCGCGGTGCAAGATGAAGCTCCGACGATAATACGAAAGTTAACAAGCTACGATTAATCTTCAAATCGGGTTTGCGATCGCGTCGCGTTGCTCTTCGTCGTGTTACCGCTCGAATAGCACGTACAATACGATCAACGAAAGATTGGAACGCGAAACACGAGAAACCCTAGGGGTACGAGCGAAACGCGGAAGTGTAAAATCTCCGGTGTAACGATCTTCGTGGAGGACATACGCGTGGGAAGTGCATTCGGCTTTTCAAGATTCATATCGGAACGCGCCGTCTGGAAATAGCGCGACCCAATTAGACGACACAGTTTCCAACAGAGACGTCGTTAAGCTGTGCGAAACGACGTGCTGCTTCAGATTGATTTCGAAGTCGAACCTCTTCGATTCGAACGGCTACGTTCTACTTTGCCACGGTTGTTCCCAATGTCGCGATAGAGAACTAAGCGTGGAACGGAGCGTGTACCCTATATTCGGGCGCGCGATGATCCCTCGGGGAATCTCGCGTGGCTTGTGAAAAGCCAGGACGAAAGCAACGAACAGCGTGGGAGCTTTGAGGGGAAATTACGTTTCGAATGGAGAGGAATCGCAGAACGATTGAAAGAACCAATATTTTATGGGAGATTTCGGGCCGAGAGTGGAGTTTGTTCGTTGTTTGGACGCGGTTCAATGGGGCTGAACGAATCGATACAGAAGAATATTTCATGAGGGTTAGTATGCCGCCTGAAATACGTTCTCGCAGACGAGCCGCGGTTTAAAA